ATTGAAACAAAATCTGATGCATTAAAAGATGGCATAGGTGCACTGTTACTACAGAAGTTTTAGTAGTAGCGTACACTTTTAAATGTTTATATGATATAGAAAAAAAGCTATTTTTTATAGTTTTAATAGGTAAACCATTGCATTGTTTTATTTATGTTAGGACTACCTTATCAAAAATGGATCATAAACATGACGAATCATATTATGAGGGGCGGCAACATATTAGCACCTGAGTGGCAAATTTCTGAGTATGTCTCTGACTTCAGTAATGACATTTATAATATTTATGGTCAATCTAATTTCAATAGTTTACTATCTTTTTATATTTAACTTCAAAAATTAATTGTAAATTTTAAACATAAATATGGTATTATGTATATTATTCAAGATGATCTTAATTAATTGAGTACTAAGGCTTCTTGAAAAGGATTGGACTTATCATCTTTAAATATCGCGTCATGATATACACTCGTTCTCATAGTTCTGTTAACTTTATATATTTGTGTTATCGCCGACCTTTTCCCAGAGTATAAAAACAATAATAATGAATGATTTCATTGTGCTAAAAATTATGTTATAATAATTAATATGCAAGATTTTACAAATATAAATATATGGGCGTCTCTTCATTATGCTATGTAAGCTTATAATTTTTTTAAAACTCAAAATAACAATGTATTTAAATAAATCAATTCGATTTGAACCGTTGTCTATGGCCACAATCCCAGACTAGCTATTTACCTCGGACTTGAATAAGGTATTTGACCGATTTAGATGACCATACATCTTTTTAATTTAAACTCAATTACTACCGAGTTAATAATTTATAACTGGTAAGTAATCACCGCAATGATAAAAAAACTAAAACGCGGCCCGTATAGAGCACATTACAACGTGTTATACAAAAACCACATCTTCAATACAGTATAATTAAAATACTCATACGTAATTAATAAATACTACCAAAAAATCAGCGATAATGTCTGGTTGACACACATGAGACTGGGTGACAACTGACTCCATGTAGATCAACAACTCGCGATTCACCAACGGTTGTTTAAATACTGACGACAATATGGCTGATAAGAGCCGGACATCAGCTGGTCACACGACACCTTGTTGTCTGGCTCAAACAATAAAATCAATAGGATACATTTTGGAATAGAACTTAGATTCACATTTAATCGATATTTAAACTTTCATTCGCACTTTGTAAAAGTTATTTGTAAGGCGCTTAAAATTTTTGGGTTTGGTCAAAGAATTTCGTCTGAATTTAAGTTATATTGTCTTACTTAGAATATGTAGCACTTATTTGGCTATCCTGAAACTGTATGTAATCAAGTTATAAGGGTTCAACATAAATTGTTGAAATATATTGCTTTTATTTTAAGTATAGTTCGTTTTGTGACTATGAGGAAATGCTTAATGTATTTTACCAATCAAACTTTATCTATCAGAAAGGTTCAACTTAACTTGTCATTTTTATTCTAACTATTTTAACTCTAAGATAAAAATATTACATCGCTAATTTTTGTTAGAATCATTAATTTTTAAAATTCTTGTACATAATTCACGTACTTTGTATCCCTTTTGTGTTACTTTTTATCATCTTAATTACTTAACTAGAAATCATCTGATATGAATGATGAAATTAGTTAATGAGAACCAAAGTTTACATAAAACACGTTTGAAATACTTGTATAAATATAAGTTAACAGTTTAAAAGGTTTAAAATTCCCTATAAGACTAATGGAAATTTAGAAATGTTTGATGTTTTGAACATGCAGTGATTATAACGTAACCACCCTGAGTCTTCATTGAGGACCTATCTTAATTCTTGAGACTCGCTTTAGTCTTCTAGTTTAATTATATTTGTATGTATTTATTTATTAAGTTTTATATTCATCAGATGAAGACTTCGGAATTCAAATTATCAGTAAAAAACAAGAAATCAAGTGATGATGAAATATCAAAACATACAAAGAAATACAAATAAAAGAAATCTATTTGTGTTTGCAAAATTTATTTGATTTTGACTTTCATGGCTTCAAAAGAAACATACAACTAAACCAACTAAAAATACAAAGTCCAATAATAAAGAAAAATCATAGATTTCCACATTGAATAGCACTTCTATAATTATCATTTACAGAACCAAATAGCAATATTTTATATTTACAAAAGCAAAAATTCTAGAACGAAAATAGTCTGAACTTATTATTTTTAATTACTATTACTATTTATGGAGAGAACAGGATGATGATTTTTTAGACAACATTATTTATATATATATATTTTTCTTTTTTTACACAATGTTTTGAATTAGTCTTATCGATATTATTATTTTTACATAAATGTAAACTAAAACTATACAATATCTTATCTTTTAATATTATATTTGACACCATACATACTTATACATTATCATACTGTCATGTTTTGTGTATTCTATAATTTTTTTAAACCTACCTTTTATATGTAACAAATCACATTGTTAACTTTTATCTATTTATATAATGTACTAATATTTAATATTCACAATAATAATTTTTAATAATTATATATCATAAATATTAAATATATTAATCAAATACTATTATACGATTATTCTTATTATTTTATTTGATTTCTTGTCAATATTAAACTTCAGTTATGAAAACACAACACTTAAAAAATTAGAGCGGATGTTGTAATATTCTTAATGTTTTGCATTACTCATCTTATATTTATCAATGAAAAATTTATAATCTGTATTTTATATTACTTGTAAACAAACAAATAACTTATCTGTCATAACATGTGCACTGTTCAATACAATTTCTTATTATTTACATATATGTCAATTTATCCATTATTAAGTACAATAAACTAAAAAGATCACTAAAAGCGCTGACAATAATATTCCTAGATTGGGGGTTCTATCACATACTACAAAAAACACTGAAATCCTTTCAGAGTCCAGTTCGCTTTTACCGAATGCCTATTTGGAATTATTTTCAGTCACAATCCCGTGTTGTAGTTGGCTGTCTTTCTTATGTGCATTTTGTTTGTATATACGAAAAGAATTTGTTTTGATTTATTATTTTAAGTTTGTGACGAGAAAGGAATTAAAATAAAGATTTTATCTTATTGAATCATTTGTGAACAGCATAATTATTAAATATGGGGTAAGAATTTAATACCTTTATATATCGAAAGGTTTGTTGAATTATCTTTCTATTACAATTATAGCTGCAAAATACGAAGTAGGTCAACTTGTAATATTCCAATTATTTAGAATTAAAAATGTGAGTAATGAACGATAAAGCAATAGATCATTACTCTCTTTAGTAATTTTACTAATTTGTGTGCACTTTATACATTACAGGGTATTCGTTGGTCGGATTACCGCCTCGTAGTCTCAGTGTCCTATTAAAGGTGTTTACCAATTAATTAGTTTTTATTTCTCAACAAAGAGAAACTATATTTATTTATTTATATTTACTTGTCTTTATTGTTCTAAGCCCTCGGACTCTACAACACCGATAGAACGTCATTGCTCACGAATTGACCAAATCCCCAAATATCCAAACTTTGGTCAACATACCCAACACACCATATTTTTTGTTTTTTTTTTTGTATTACTACAATATTCTATTGTTATATTATATAAATTTACATCGCGTAAATCTTCATTTTTTATAATTGAGCTTTTCTGTGTTCATATAATAAATAAATAAATAATAGTGCAGAATAGTACGAAATAGTTGTCTTACTGTTGTAACTCAAAAAAAGAGATGAAGGAATAATATAAAATAATTAAGTTAAAAGAAGAAGAACAAGAATAATATATAATATATAATATTATGTGTAGATGCGTTGGTTGAGCAGATATTGAAATAATTGAGACTCCTATGGTCTTAAGCTTAATTCCTTATTATTATATTTTTTGAATTACTTTTTATATCGGGGTCAGTGTTCCGAGGGTTTTCTCTTTTTTTTTTTTACTAATATAATTCCAAAGGAAAAGGAATATTTCTATTCATATGTGTATGTAAATTTTATTTTACTAAAAATCCAGAGCTTTCGCCAACCGTAAAATAACAGCTCAAACGAAATCTGCTCTATATAGATTTAGTTTTACCAAAAGTACTTATTTACTTTATTATTTATATTAAAATTTTATGTTCAGCATTTTTGCTTACCTTTGAATAAGTATTCTTTTTTTACTTTTTTTAAATGTGTCTTTTCACACTGATGATGTTGATGAACTAACTGACATTCAGAGATTCTAAGTGCAAGTGAGTTTTTTATGCCACGTTAACCCGTCTTTTATACTTTTCTTTTAATTCAATTAGGGATCAACATCATTCGTGTTTCCAGATATTTTTATTGACATATAATTTAATTGTGATCAAAGTTTACAATATTTTCTTTAAATACACAATAATATGAGTAATAAGATGATAACATAATTTTTGTCACGTTAATACTATTATTACAACATTACTGCAATGCGTTGTTTATGGAAAAAACGTTTATATGCCTCATGTGTAAGCAAATTATAACGCTAAAGCGCCACCAGCTTTTCACTTCACGTCGTCGAAGGTGGGAGTAAACCATGCCTATCGCAAAAAATTAAAAAACATTTTATTTCATCAACTATATAAAAGAAATAGATAAGCTGAAAGAGCACGAGCTTTATTGATATGACTCCAAGTTGTTTATTTTATTATGTTTATAAAGTTATGACTGCTTATAATACAACTTGACTGTACTCAAGTTATAAGATACAAATTAATGACAGTTTGTAGCAGCAAGAAATAATGGCAATAATAGGCAATGAATACTGCTCGTTGAGTTTCTATAAAGCTTTATAATTATGCTTATTTTAGTTATTAAGTCTTTCAACAATGATAAAGTGAGTTTAATCAAATATTTCTTTAATGTATATTAAAAACTTATCATTACATCGTATTTTTTAAAATTTTATCTACGTTTACTATTTTAGCAAATCTTTATTTAAATATCACTCCTAGCCTTGCGTGTCACCAAGGTCATATTAATTATTGACACTGTGTCAAGGAATTACTTAAAGATTTTTTTACTTTATCACTATTTTATCCATTTATTTCATTTGATAATAATAAATTTTTATTTATTGCTTTGTGTACATTTATTGTAGGCATCTCGTCAGTTTTAGTCATTTAGTTAATTTCTTCACTATATTCATGTTGACAATATTCGGTTAAATAATAATAGTAATTAACACATAAACTTTTAATTTTAATACATATGTTATTGTAAAAGTTTTAGCTTTTGTCAACTTGGATTTTTTATCAAATATAAATTGGAAATATTATTACTTATTTTTACACAAAAATATTTGTCATTTTCATAATTTTAAAGGGTCGAGCTACTTTGAGCACCCCTCAGATCATAGTTATATATCTTTTTTTCTCTAAAATCTAAAAATAGAGCTATATAATTATAAATTGTTTTGTATTTAAAACATTATTAAAACAACGAATGTCTCCTCAAAAAGCATTAAATGTATTAAGGACTAAACGTTAGTAAGATGGATTCTATTATCAATTCAGAAGAAATAGATAAACAAAAATTATCATTTGAGGTTTTAGACGATGAGAAAAAAAATGACATAAACGCAGACAAACTCAGTATTTTGATACTGGTTTTTTTATACGTGTTGGAAGGTGTACTCTATGGGATATCTACAGCTATAAGAATAGTTCTTCAGGACATGAAAACACCATATCATGATCAGGTAAGTGTATTAACTAAGAAATTATATTCATTAATCATTTAATTGAGATTTTCTGTAAATACCTAGATACGTTTTTTAACATTTAATTTATAGGCTAAATACAGTATGGTTTATTGGCCTTATAGCATGAAGTTATTAATCGCACCCGTGTTCGATGTGTCGCTCTCTAGTAAAATTGGCAAACAAAAAATGTGGCTTTTTCCAATTCAAATTCTTATCGGTGACTTTATACTTCTGCTAAAAACGAGAAAATACGTATAAATGTTTTTTTGACATCATCACTTATTATTTTCACTATTAGGTGTAACTTTGATGTACATTGCACCCCGAATTCAAGGTTGGTTGATTGATGAGGAAACTCCTCAAATAAACAAAATAACCACGATATTTTTTTTTTTAATTACTCTATCGGCCATACAAGATATAATAATCGATGGCTGGGCTTTAAATTTTTTTAGAAAGTATAATTCAATTATTTTTATAAAACTCAATTAATTGATGTGTAACACTAACGTTTGATTTTTACTTGTAGGGAAAATGTTGCTTATTCTGCACTTTGTAATAATTGTGGTCGTGCTTTTGGCATAATAATTGGTTTTGTGATTTTGTTGTTATTAGAGTCGGAAAAATTTTGTAACAAATGGTTGCGCATTATTGACCAACAGGGTGGTGTTATATCGTTTAAAGGTAAGAATTGAAAGACAAAACATGAGTCCTTTAATTGATTTTTAAATTATATTAATTAAGTAAAACATTTATCGTGGTATTAATAAGTTGTCTAGAAGTGATATTTTTAAACAATTAGTATATTAATAAATTTTCAAATTCTAATGGAAAAAAATGTGCGTCACGCATTTTTTAATCCTCGCTTCTCTCTCTGTTGAGCAGGAAATGTTTAAAAAAAAAAATGTCATAAGAAGGTTATTCATTCCTTCAGTTCTACCACAAGGGTATTAAATTTTTATTAGTTTAAAACTTAAATTTTCTGTAGATAACAATTTTTTTGAAATTTATTTAAAGTTAATTTGTTACGTATAATTTACAAAGGTATAACTAGATCGAACAATTTTGTTTAATAGTTTTGATAATTTTGAATAATTAATTAAAATTTAATGAATACATAATATTTATTTTTAGATTTTTTTTATTTGTGGGGAATTGTATTTATTATTGCTGCAATAGTCATAGCATTATTCAAACGAGAAAGAGTCGATGACAATCGATTTAAAATTAATTTCATAGAAGTATACAGATTGGCATGGAAAATACTTAATTTAGAGACAATTAAGAGATTTTGCTTTGTTATAATGACGTATGAAGTATGATGTTTAAGTTAAACAGTAATTTGTGTTTTTAATCTTAACAAATTTTATATTTACTAGATTGGATTTGCTGCAATCGAAGCAGTAGCAATACCAAAATTTCAAGAATATGGTGTTGATAAAGATACTATAGTATTAGTTGAATTATCTCTGTATCCAGTAGAAATGTTTGCTACTTACGTTATAGCAAAATATGTTGTTGGACCAAAACCACTGAGTTTATTTATGAAAACTATGCCACATCGGTAAATTTCTTCAATCATTACAATTAATACTTAATTTTTATAAAATAAAAAATCTTTACGATTTATACTAGAAGCACAATTTTCACGTTTACTTTTTAAGTGGTTTTTTCTTTTTAATGATGAATTTAAAATTTATTATTTGGACAGAAAAGTGTTTAATTTATTCCATATTGATATCTAATCCACCACACTTCAATGTGATATTTATTTTTATAAGTTTTAATTTTTAACTTAACTATCGTGTGTACTTTTTTAGGATTCTTGTTGGAATATTCTCAGGTTTAATAGTTTATAACACACCTAAATATGTTTCTGAAAATGGAAGTGCATCCCCTTACTATTACATAGTATATGAGCTGTACTGTATTTTTCAAAAAGTAAGCTATGATAAATTTTCTCTAATAGTTAAAAAAAAAAATTCTGTATATGCTATTGACTTAAAAAATGTTGAATCATTAAATAAAATTAAAAAAATGTATGTAATTATTCATAATAGCACAATACATTTTACATGCAGATACACATTGTGTTTTAACTAATAAAATATTATAACTATTTTTATGTTTACTTTAATAAAGAGTTTTTTATGTATAAATTGTTGTAATGATAATATGTGGTATAATTTATTAAATGATAAGCATTAGTTGCAATGTGAATTTTTTTATAGGTACTTACAATGGTAATGCGGCTATCAATACTATCATTTTTTTCACGTGTAAGTGATCCTTCTGTAAGCAGTACATACATGTCAATATTAAATACACTTTTTTCTTTGGAAAATTCTATTACTAAGACAAGTGCTATTGCCCTAGTCAGTTTGTTCACATTTAAACATTGCACTAACAGTCTAAAATTAGTATGTAACAAGACAATTTTTTTAATGATGTCTTAAAATAGATTTTTATCTTTTATAGGACCATAAAAAAGTATTAGATGAGTGTGAAGTTTTTGTTGATGGTTTTTTTATTGAAATAATATTGTGTACAATTTTCAGTATATCTTGGCTCTTATCAACAAAGAAATTTATTAAAAATCTACAGGCAAGGAATACTGAAGATTGGCACATCAATAAAGAAGCTTACATTTTAAATTCAAAAAAAGAAAAGTTACTTTCTAAAACGCCATATGATAGTTCTCAAAAGTGATGACACAATCATTTTCTTATGACTAAACTATTATTATAAAATATCTAATTTTTCAATATTTGACAAATATAGTTATTTAGACTACCAATTATTAATTAACTATTTAGACTACTTAGAATAATGTATTATTTTTTTATGCATGTCATTAAATCACTGATCACAATAAGGATGTAATATTTTTTAACTTAGGAAATTATGATAACCTGAGGAATTTCCCATTATAACCTAAATAATATTATCGTTATAGTTATAGTTATAATATATCTAATAATAATAGACTATACCTGTTAATAATTTTAAAACTAGAGTTTATTATCTGTTGATAATATTAACAAAGGCAATTATTACGTTTATCTAATTACAAATTTATTTACTCCTCTCTTCAGTAATTGTATGGAATAAATATTACTTCTATATTAAGAATTTTAATTAACTCTTGAAAAATAATGCAGTATATTTGATCTAATTAACTTTATAATTATAGTTAATTGCTCTTGTTAGGCTTATTAGTCCGTCCTATTATTATAACATTAAGTGTCGTAATGCCCAATATGCAAAATAATGAATATATTTTTGGATTATTAAAAAAATTATTATATAGAAAGAATATTTGCCCCCTTATTATGAGCATCAACAGTAGAAGTTAATTACCAATAATGTTTATTAATTTTTTCAATCAAAAACGTACTTTTATGTATTATTTGTCAGAGTCTATGAAATGTAGTTTATCAGTTTTGTCGGACTTTAACATCAGTAAAATTTTGAAAGAGTTACTTTGTTAAAGTTTTCATAATTAATAAAATACTTAATAAATAAAATTAAACAAATCAAATATCTGCTTGTAGCAATGATAATTTAAAAATAATTCTATATAAAAATATAAACATATTTGTATGTTTAGATCAACAATAACGAAATATGAAAAACTCAATAATTAATAAACAACTAATAATAAAAAATATATCTCATCATTATATCTGATATTAAATATAAAAGTTTTTTTTTATTTCAAAAATATCTAAAAAAATATAAGTTCTATAAAAGAACAAAAATATTAAAACTATAGAAATTCAACAAAAGTAATTCACTAAAATTTTTGTAATTAATATAAAATAAATTCTCTCAACAATAGTATGAAACTCAGCTCTATTTTTATTATAATAAATATATGTGTATAAATAACTCAATTAGTGTAATGTAACTGTGAGCGACTAGAAACTAAGGAATTTATTAAATCATTACATAAATTTTATTGTATTATATACTTATAATGGTTAATTCATACTCACCAAAAACTCAAATAAATATAATCAAACATTCAAAACCCCTTATTATTTGACTAGATCTAACATAATATAAATAAAAATTGTAATAATACTTACAGTAATCACTGATGGAGATATGTTATTGGTCAACTGTGACGCCTGAAACTTACTGAAAAACTACAAAAATAAATAAATAAATTACAATATTAAACCAAAATACTCAATTTACATCAATATATGTACTAAAACTCGATAAATAAAAATAGGAACTTTAATTACAGTAGATCTGTTTTAAAAAAGATTAAAAAAAAAAAAGTATATATCAAACTTAAGAATAAACATAAATATATATACAGAGTGATCGAAATCTGGTAAGACACTTATTTTCTCAGAAACTATTGATTATATAAAATTTTTGTAAAAAGAAAAATTATTAAGTTTATAAAACTCTACAATAATATGAAGTTAAATAATTTTTTTTTTATCCCTTCAGGATAAAAATGTTTATTTATAATTTTTTTCAATGGGAACCACTATTTTTGATTTGATAATATAATAGAAAAAAAAAATTACAAACAATTTTGTTTTCATAATTTTTTTTATCCGAACAACCGTTTAAGTTTTATAATTGTTTAAAGATTTTGACTTCCAGAAAAAATATTGTCATTTATTACGTTTCATAATATCGGTGGCAGTGCAACCGGTATTTTTTTTAGATTCTTTAGTCTTACAAAACCATAGACTTAGCTATTAATAATACACCGAAAACCCGGTTTGAATCTATTATTGTTATCACTCATTTAGTGCGTAGTAAATTTTTATAGCTAATTTACCTGTCATAACTTGATCAATAAAATTTGGTTTATGCAACAGCAAATAAAAATAATGACTTCTGTATTTAATACAGTGAAATGACAATAAAAATTTGGCCTAAAATCACTTAATTTTAACAAGCTGTAACGGACGAACGGTTAATCGGATAATAAAAATTATAAGAACAAAATTGTTTGTAATTTTTTTTCTATCATATTATTAAGTTAAAAATAAGGGTTTCCATTTAAGAAAATTATAAATAAGGGTTTTTATTCTTGAAGGGACGAAAAAAATTATGGTTTGACTACATATTATTGTAGAGTTTTTTGAACTTGATATTTTTTCTCTATAATAAAATTTAAAATTCTCAATATTTTCTGAGAAAATGAGTGTCTTACCAGATTTCAATCACTCTATATATATATAAACTAAGGTGAAAAATTGTTTATAATTTATTGTCACCTTAGTTTTTTATGTTGACAGTTTAGTTGCACTTTTGTTAGCTGAAGAGAGTAAATTTTAAGTATGATCGTTTAATGTTTCTACATTTTCATTAACATAAGTTTTTAATGTAAATATAACATAAATTAAGTTTTTTTGTAATTTATTATAATTAAAGTATTTTAACTTCGATGCGAAGCTGAGAAAGTTTGCTTTTACTATGATTTTTTTTTTTTTTTTTTTTATGTCTGTTACCACTTTTTCTCAGCTCTCACGGAACCGATTTTTTTCAATGATATGTCAAAAGATCACAAATCGTATCTAGTCGAAGACATTTTGAAAAAAAATTGAAAAAATTTCCCTCGTTTTCTTTTTTAAAAATAGACAAGTCAATAATTTTTTTTTTTTAGATATATGAGGTATTTACCTATCGTTTTGTACATTTTTTGTAGAAATCTGGCCCTTTACTTGCCCACAATAGGGGATTCAAAATGACAATTTTTTCATTGATTTTAATCACTGTCAGATATCATTATACTTGATCCAACTATGCCACGTCACCACAGTGCCGCTATCCTCTGTGCTGGGTTTTTTTAAAGTTTTAATTACTTTAAACTTATTACGTAAAATTATGCATAAGATACCATTATAGAACAATAAGTATGTATATATTTTTTATTATAGCTTAAAATGTAAATATTTAGATTTAAGTATACTGATAGATACAGCATAAGTATCTGTCACCATTTACTATGTTCAAAAGCATCTAGTAAATAAAAAATATCTGGTATGTCAGCGAAATAATTGAATAATTATGTTTTTATTGATAAAATTGTATTAATACTTGAGTTAAGTGTAATTGTTTTTTTACTAAGTATAAATGAACTAATGTTCAACGAATGGTAATCTATTGCAGCTGAATGATCGATTTACTTTTAGACCAATTAAAGTATTAATTCTACGATATTATTTTATTATTATTTTCACTATACAATACCTGATTAAGAGTATAAAAAATATATAGAGTAATAGTATGTAATTTTTTTAATTTGTATACTTAATAACTTACCTTGGTATTCTGTAAATTACGACTAATATAGTGCAAGAAATTTAGTCATTATTAGACTTTACGATTCCTGGTAAGAATTTTTAAGTTTAAAAAATATTTAAAATGAATTTATCATAACTTGCTTTAATGAATTTTTTTTTTATTTTTATCCTTTTGAACACTAGTATTTCTACATCTATTGAGGCTCGCGAATGAAAACTTTTTAGAGGCTCATTTTAGATTACTTGATGTAATTTATTCATAAAATTATCTCTATTCAGTAAATAAAGGCGTAGTGTGCGTAGTGGATCATCTAGTCGCCGCCTTATTGTCGATATTCAGATGCGCTGTTTGTTGTTGATTTCCGGATGGGTGACCATATGTAAACTTTAGCAATAACACAAACCTTGCGCTCTTACTTATTCCATCATATATAATGAAGTTGCGTCAGGTCGACAACCAGGGCAAAATTTTATTATATCATTAAGGCAAGTCGCGACTTCAAGTAATCGGATAGAGGTTATGGTGATGATCTCTATTGAGTAAATACAATTCTTGTTGTCATTACTATTTTATTATACAACTTATAAATTATTTACTACAAAACAATGAACAAAATCGTGATTAAATTTTAATTTTAATCCAAAAGTATTTGATGAACAAGAACTTTCGTTAAATACTATGAAAGATCAACTGAAACGTGGATTGGAAGGAGATAAACTTAATATATTAGTTCTAACTTTTTTGTACGTACTACAAGGGGTTCTGTATGGAGTATCAATAGCAATAAGGATAACACTCCAGGGTATGAAGGTTCCATATCATGATCAGGTAATAGAACTAAAATAGATTTTATAAAAATCATTTCAATAAAAACATTAAAATGAGTAGTAACCAAAAATAAATGAACTTAGTGAATTGATTTTTTTAATTTTAATTTTGACAACTCCTTATCTTTAATAATAGTAAAAACTCGAATGTAGGCTAAATACAGTATGGTGTATTGGCCCTATAGTATGAAGCTGTTATTGGCTCCTTTGTTTGACGCAACACTTTCAAAAAGAATCGGAAAACGAAAAATGTGGATTGTACCCGTTCAAACATTAATTGGTTAACATATTTATTTTTAATATTACATTAGCTGAATGTGTACATATTTATCTTCTTTTTAATTTCTTAGGTGTTATTTTAATATGCATTGGGTACAAAATTCAAAGTTGGTTAACCGATGGCCAAACTCCTCAAGTTAATATGATAACAACCATGTTTATTTTATTAATCACGTTGTCATCGATTCAAGAAATAGTAATTGATGGATGGTCACTGCATTTTTTACGAAAGTATTTTTCAATTTTTTCTTTTCAAAATATTCGTAATTTTTTTATTTTATTTAAGAAAACGTTACTGTTGGTTTATTCAGGGAAAATGTGCCTTATGCTGCTCTATGTAATAATTGTGGTCGTGCTTTTGGCATTATTCTTGGTTATGTAGTTTTACTATTATTAGAGTCGGAAAATTTTTGTAACAGGTGGCTACGATTTAATGATCAAAATGGAGGAATTTTATCATTTAAAGGTGATTTATCATTTATTAAATATTATGATAATTTTTTTATATATTATAGGATAATAGAACGCAATAAACTTTTTTTGATTGTAATAACTAAATATAAAGTTGATAGGGATGGTATTAATAAAGAAGAATGATAATATCATTATCCTTAAAGACATAATAAATACAAGTACTTTTATTTCTAGTTATTACCTGATTAGTGTAGATAGTGTATTAAAACTACTCTTACCTGATATCCACTGGAACAGTGATGATAGAATATCGGCTGGTGATTTATAGTTGTTTTAGGCGTTTGTTAAATTATAGGAGGTATGTTAATTACAAGAGAATTAATTTGTGAATGGTATAAGCTATGTATTTTTAAGTAAAGTGTTATTTTTTAACAAATGTGCGTTTTAAACTATGTAAGAAAAGTTAAGCTCAAACTTAAAACAATATATGCATAAAGAATACACTGGTTTGATCTGTAAGAGAAAAACTATGATGATAACTTGATACGAGATAAGAAGTGAATGAGAGTGAGGACTATGGTCCTTAGCTCTTTTATAATAAGCAAAAGAGTGGTCTGTCAATAAGTGGGTGACATAATTGAGGCTAATGAGTCAGAATATTTTTATAGGGGATGAATATATACCTTCAACTGTTAATTATATAAATTAAAAAGTTAAATAGTCCAGTGTGTCTTATGGCATAGAAGTAATTCTTAATGGTTTGCACTAAAGGGTTAACTGATATTTCCCGTCATAATATTGTAGCCACAGAGACGCAATGAAAAGTGTTGACTCATGATGATTATTGACAAACCAAAAACACAAGAATGAAATGTACTTATTAAACAGTTTATCTTTGCATGATGTGAGTTTTAAAAGAGTTAGTGAATATTCCGGAGAAGAATATTACATGATTCGAATATTTTTTTGTAAATAAATATAATCGTTCTATAAAGATAAATTTGTAAATATTGCAAATTTAAATATATTTACAGGTTATTTTTACTTTTGGGGAATCGTTTTCCTTTTTTCTGCCGCTACAATAGGAATTTTTAAACGTGAAATATTCGATGGAAGCCTAATTAATGTACATTTCTTGAATATTTACTACATAGCTTGGAAAATAATACAATTGGACACCATCAAACGATTCTGTTTAATTATTACGACGTATGAAGTAATGATAATAAAAAATTTAATTAAATTGGAAGAAATCTTTTTTAAGAGTAAAATATTATTTAAAATTTAGATTGGATTTGCTGCTATAGATGCAGTGTCATATCCAAAATTTCTTGAATATGGTATCGACAGAGATAACATTGTTTTAGTTGACTTATCAATGTATCCAATAGAAATGTTTGTTATTTATTTTATTGCCAAACATACAATTGGACCAAAACCAATGAGTTTATTTATCAAAATCATGCCATACCGGTAATTTTCACAACAGAGCTGATTATAAATTAACTAAAAAATTTAAAGACGGACATAATTACATACAAGATGGACAACAAAAATAAGTCTAAAGTAAACACAAATGAACTGCAGGATTAATAAATACCCAAAAAATAAATTAAAAACAATAAAGTTCTTCTTACATTAACATAAATTATTGTGTGAAGATAAGCCCCTTACGCAGTGTATTCATTAATTACTCTTTGATATAAATTACATCAACTATTCAAAACTTAGTAGCTTAGTTAATTCCCAAATAAAACTCTACTGTTGTGAAAATGAAATTTATTTCTTTAGATATAAAAAAAATAATTATTAATATAATTAATACTTATTTTATTTTTCATCATACATTTTTTAAGTATTTAACCTTGTTAAATTTTTGTTGGAAATTTTTAGGATACTAACCGGAATTTTTGCAGGTATGCTAGTATTTTATACGCCAAAATATGTTTCAAAAAATAATAGTTCATCGCCTTATTTTTTTATGGTATTTGAGTTGTATAATATTTTTCAAAAAGTGAGTTTTGTAATGCGTATTGTAAATTAATTTTTTTATCGATTATGTTTAAATTTTACATCTTTATTTTAGAGTAATATCAATATAATTATGAATAATATCGATAACATTATTTTTCATACTTTTATCTCTTTTTAATAAAACTGAATGTTTTTGGAAAATTTTTATCGTAGTAATTAGTTAAATTTATAAAGAACCATATATTATATTCAAATTGAACAGAAGCATAGGTAAGAGATATGGGTATATGTATTTAAAATTATCATTAGTAATCTTCACCTACACCTCTAGTATTAAACATATATTTTTTATTAGTTTGGGATTTAAAACATACAATTGACACAGCCAATATAATATTCTTAGTAACTGATGAAAAATTACTTTGAAATATAATTATTATTTTTTAAATATGTTATTGTGCAATTATACATTTTATTATATGAATTATTAATCACGTTAAAATATATCTTCAATAATTAGATATTTCTGTTTGGTTAAAAAATATTTTATAGAGGGTATTCAATAAGTAAAAAAAAAGATTTTTTAACCTATTTACTATTCGTAATTTCTTATAACTGTTCAACTGCCATTAAAATTTTTTAAGATATTTTCTTTATACTTTGGTATAGTTACAGAATATTCCAAATTACTATCCAAGAATTAAGCATGACTTCGATGAGAAACTGAATGAAAATTTCGTGATAAATGTTCATTAAAGGGTAGTTTCGAAGAGAATTCAAACCTTTTTTTTCTTTTTAACAAAAAAGTTTCAACGGGTGTTCAATTTTGTTATCATTTTATAAAACTATATTATTATAGAAGTTTAAATAATCTATTTAATTAACTAATATTAGTATTATTATTAATAATAAGTAACTTTTAAAGAAATTTTATCTATTTTGATTATAGCTATTGACAATGATAATGCGATTATCAATTCTGTCATTTTTTTCTCGTGTAAGTGATCCTTCTGCTGGCAGTACTTACATGTCAATACTAAACACTCTCTTTTCTTTGGAAAATTCTATTACAAAAACTAGTGCATATGCTTTAGTCGGATTGTTAACATTTAAACATTGCACTAGAGAATCATATATAGTAAGCAACCGTACAAACTAATAAACAACTTAATAACAATTTTAATATATTATCTTATAACTAGGATGATCAAGATACATCGGAAGACTGTTTAGTTATTATCGATGGTTATTATATTGAACTGGGTCTGTGCATAGTTTTCAGCATTTCATGGCATTTGTTAACAAAAAGATTTATAATAAATTTACAAGCTAGAAATATTGAGGAATGGCATGTCAACAAAGAAAATCAAATTTTTGAAATTGAAAAATGAATTAAAATTGTTTATAATCAAGTTTCAGTTATTAATTTTTAATCATAACTAGTTTTAAATGCCCTCAACATTCTAAAAATATCTTATAATTTTTGGGAAATTATTATTTTCAAAACAATGTTTAGAATTAAAAATCGAAGCAACACTTTGTAATTCCATTTTAAATGGAAAAATAAATTTGCAAGTAAATCAATCCCCATCAAATCGAACCAAAATTGTAATAGCAAAGGTCAGGCTTTATATACAAGCACTCAAAGATATTTTAATAATTCGTTTAAGTTATTTTTCAAATTATACATAAATTTTAAGAAATTATCAGACAAAATAAATTTCATATAAAGTTATTGAATATAAAAAACCCAGCACAGGGGGGTCACGGCACAGTGGTGATGTGGCATAGTTGGGTCAAGTAAAACGATATCTGACAGTGATTAAAATCACTATCATAAAAAACGCTTCGATGCAAATCTTTAGATAGTGTTTAGTTTTAAAAAATTGGTGGATTATTCCAAAAGCTACATGATCTGCTATTTCCTTATTTATATCCTGATTAAGATAAAATATGTCGAATAAAAGAGGGATATAAATATTATTTCTCATAAAAATTGTATTGATGTAAAATGTAAAAAATAAAATCGAGTATTTTCATACAAAAATAGCATTCGGTAGTCATTTTCACCACGAAGACAAAATAAAGTCCAAAATTTTTTTTTCCATAATAAAGTATATTACATAAGATTTAATTTAAGATATATATAAAAGTGTCAGACTTCCCAGAACACTTTCAAAAGTTAAGTTGAAAAAGTTCTACTTTCTATATGCATTTTTTAGATTGGAAATGGTCCGATTTAAAAAAAAAGTATGTCGAATGAAAGATGTATATAAATACTACTTGTCATGAAAATATTGAATTGATCCATACATTTTTCAAAAAGTTATAGCATTATAAAGTTAAACATGTAAAATACAAAATCGAAAATTTTCACACAAAAATAGCATTTGGTAGCAATTTTCACTATGAAGACAAAATAAAGTCCGAAATTTTTTTTTTCCATAATAAAGTAAATTACATTAGCTTTAATTTAAGATATATATAAAAGTGTCAGACTTTCCGGAATAATTTCAAAAGTTAAGTTCAAAAAATTAATTTTTTGTGAAAAACTTGTCATTTTAAATCCCCTCTGTGGGCAGGTAAAGGGTCAGATTTATAAAAAATATATACCAAATGATAGGTAAGGACATTATGTATCTATAAAAAAAAAAATGATATTGATTTGTTAATTTTTGAAAAAGTTATGGCAGTTTTAAGTAATAAAAATTGAAAAAATTATGAAAATTAGCAATTTTTAAATTTGTAATTTATTTGGAGGTTTCCGCCATTTATGGGGAACGAGGGAAATTTTTTTATTTATTTTATGTAAATATCTCATATATCTAAAAAAAAAATTATTGACTTGTCTATTTTTAAAAAAGAAAACGAGGGAAATTTTTTCAATTTTTGAGGGTAATGTCTTTGACTAGATACGATTTGTGATCTTTTGACGTATCATTGAAAGAAATCGGTTCGGTGAGAGCTGAGAAAAAGTGGTAACAGACACAAAAAAAATCGCATCTTAGTGAAACCAATACCTTCTCAGCTTCGCATCGAAGCTAATAATATACAAAGTACTTATAGAAGAATTAAATATTTAAACATTTTTCAGTTTAATAAAAAGAATAAATGTTAAATTAAAATAATGTCGTAGTTAATAACTTTTACAAGTCTAAAGTATAGAAGTAGTATTTAAAATTTTTTATATTATAATGAAATTCTGGGACATAAACATTTTTATTATGATTTACTTTTTTATTTCATTAGGTCATCGTTTATCAAATTTTCTCTGATTTATAAGATTTTTTCTGGATTTAAAGTGGAGGCGAGTGTTACCTTCTTCCCTTATGGTATATTTCGGTTTATTTAAATTTTTACGTCATATTAATTATTACATAAAAGCCAAAAGGCACAAAATATCTGAGTGAAATCCTTTAAAGAGTTTGTTTCCACATATTTATATGTACTAAAAATATTAAAAATGAAATGTAAATGATCAGTAATGAAATACATTTTAATACAGAGAAAATTTAGAGGTAAATGTAAGCACGAGTTCGCTTAAAATGATAACATGTTTGAAAGGTCATAAAATGATTATTAGTCTTCCTAAAACGTACTTTATTTTGACTAGTTAAATATCTATTTTTTATTTTTTAAGAACGTTTTATACAATATGTTTGGGTGATACGATCTAACATTTACTGATTAAACAATCTCACCTATTATTTTATAATATTCAATAAACAGTTAATCAATGGCTTTAGTTGAAACAAGAAGTTTATAAATACGTAGAAAATGAATATAACTGTTCCTGGTAAATATTTAATATGAGAAATGGTTAAAGGTATACTATGATCAAATAATTTAATTATAATAAATAATTCATATGTTTTTTTATAATTATTGACAATAATAGTTAACAGCTTTTTTTCTTCTATTACTTATATTAATAATTTCAGAACAATTTTAAATTTAAAATATTTAGAATGTTGACTTAATGATTATAATAACTTAACTCAAAATTAATAAAACTTTATAACTAATTAGTTAATTTTATTTGGAATATTTTCCAGTTAATAAATAAAAGAATTATATCATGTTACTTTACTACAAAATATTTGTTAAAATACATTATTCTTGTACAAATCAGGACTGAATTATTTGGTTTTACACATTTTTAAGGTTTAAAAATTAAAAAAAAAAAAATAGAACCCTGACGTCAAACATGATGTCGATGTAAGACGTAAATACATTTAACCTTTTTCAATACCTTGTTAACTAATTTATATTACGGGCTGTAAATTTTTTTTTACTATTTTATATTATTATTTTTGAATATTGTAATGAAATTAATAGTAAATATGATCTAGTTACTTAGCACGTTTAATAGAGCGATTAATAATCAATATTTTCCATTGCCACAAGTTGTCGATAGAAAAAAAATTAATTATACAATATTGTTAGATTAAGTATTCATATTCGTATGATTCTAAAATAGCGTTTTTCAGGGTCAGTGATAAGGGCCAAGATATCTCTTCGCAATGGACTTTATGACCTATCAAAAAATTATTAATAACTTAGTTTAAGAATTAAATATGCTTCCTTATTAATAAGAAAGAAGGACTTACTTTATCAATTTATTAAAATTATTACGCCTCTATCTATTCAATTTATTTGTCGATGTTCAACACATTAAGAGCATTATCAAGAGTAATCTAGCCACCCTAAAAATTTTTAAACAAAAAATATAAAATTACTGTTTGAATATTGGATATTGTTTGAAACATCATTAAAATTAAAAAAAAAGTTATTAGATTTGTCAAATATTGATATAACCCAGTGTCTAGGATAAGACAACATACAGTTTGTATTATCATATACTAATACTATTATTAATTTGAATAAGCATTATGAAAGGTAGAATGTATTTGAAAGTAGAGCGAGCTATAACTTGTGAGCGGCTCTGGTGATTTATTCTATCCCCCCCTCTAAAAGTTTGGTAAATTTTCGACTATTATCAAGAGCATCTTTGAAATTAAGTTTTTAAATATTGTATTATCAAACATATTTTTCAATATGTTTGTTAAAAACGTATTTTTGACAAAATAGTATTTGGTTATGGAGTTAATGTTTTTGTTGTTTAAATCATTTGTTATCAAATAGTGTTTCATCAATTTCATTAGTAATACATGGAGTAACAGCTAATATATATATATATGATTTAGCAGTAAGAAATTAGAATGGTTTACTTTCAATGAACTCATGGCCATTTCGTTTAAGTGGAGGTTCACCAATGTAATCCAACTAATGTTTTTAGTATTGCTTGAAAGTCTGAAGAATCAACATAATCTAATTTATTAAAGTTTTCTAGTTGTCATATTTTTAAAATTTGGTATATATGTTTTTATTTATTCAATTAAATGGAATAAGATTTAGTTTCTTATTAATATATATAAACTAATCTATTTAATTGAAACTAAAGGCACTAAGTTTTAATTAAATAATATTTAACATAAACATATTTATAACTTTTATACGTATTACTTTTAATGATAAAAATTAAAGAAAAAATTGGCCCACAAATTTTTGTCGATGTGAGATGAAAACTATTAAAGTAAATCTTTTTTCATTTAGAATAACAATGATATAAAACTATTAATATGGAAGACTCTGATAAACCAAAACTAGTCAAACCAAATTTAAAAGGAGAATGGAAAAATATATTCTTATTGTTACTATTATATATGCTTCAAGGTATACCGATGGGATTATCATTTGCAATTCCATTAATTCTTCAAAATCAAAAAGTATCATACACAGATCAGGTAACAAAATCTAAATTAGAATTTGTTTTTTAGTTTGTTATTAACTTAGAGAAAAAATTGTCTACTATATTAAATTGTATGATTTAAGACTTAGAGATAGGGGTCACCTACTAACATCTTTGTGAAAAACCAGTTTTAAGCTATCTATTTTGTATAAAATATTTTTTACTGAATTTTAAAATGCTACCAGGTTAATCATTGTGTTTTAAGTTTTAAGTTCAGTAAATATAAATCCAAATACAAATTATACAATATCATTAGTTTTCTTTTATCGATGTTATAGCAAAAATATTCAACAAATGTTAATCAACTATTCTTACTAAATAAATATAATTTAATATAATATTATACATAATATTTAATCCAAATTCTTTATTTCAGGCTTTATTTAGTACTTCTGCTTGGCCATTCAGTTTGAAACTATTATGGGCTCCCATAGTCGATACGTGGTTCATTAAAAAAATTGGCAGAAGAAAATCATGGCTTTTACCCGTTCAATTTTTATTAGGTATGTAAAAAAAGATAAACGAAGTATTTTGTTGTAAATATATGTGAGAGTTAAAATTTTATTATTATTATTTAATAAACTATTGTTATTATATGTTATAAATACGATAAACTAACTTATAGGAGTAATTCTCATTTATACGGCTGCAAATTTTAACGATTGGATGTACAAAGAGAAGCCTAATATTCAATTGATTGTAATTGTGTTTTTCTTTGCTAACTTTCTTGCGGCTACTCAAGATATTGCTGTTGACGGTTGGGCTCTTACAATGCTAAAAAAGTATGGTCATATATTTCATTTTATTTCACTTGTCATTTTTACGGGTTTATTTTTTAGTAACAATAATATTATTTCAACAGAGAAAATGTTGGTTATGCGTCAACATGTAATTCATCAGGCCAAGCAGTTGGAATTCTACTAGGTTATGTATTACCGATACTTTTAGATTCAGAAAGTTTTGGTAACAATTACTTGCGAAGTACGCCTGCAAAAGGTGGTGTGGTATCAATGAAAAGTATTTTTTTTTTATTTAAAGATTATAATATGTTGTTTAAACGTACAGTGTTTAAATATATAATTAAATAGCTTTAATTTATAATTAGGAATTATTTTACCCAAAAATAAAGTTTTATGGAACTGCATATGCAAACTTGGTTTTCGAAAGGCATTAACATTAGCTTAACTTTTAACAAAAAATTTAATTTTACTAAATGGTTTTTATCTGTCTTAAAATATGATATTTTTAGTAATAAAGTAGAAAATGAATTAGTTTTAAAATTGATGGTCTGTTCTATTTAATACTTAGAGTTTTCTATATTGTTTTTGAATGTGCTGTCTATCAGTTAATCTATTTAATCATAATAAAGCGAATTGTAAACAAGTTTGATATTTTAATCCAAATACACAAATATAATTGTAGTTGTATAATATTATAACACAAACTTATTTTCATTCATAAAATACATTGGTTTAAAATTTTGTGCTTATTATAAAAACGTAAAATAAAAAATGAGGTATTAAAAAAATTTCCTGACAACTGTATCTATAATTTTTTATTTAATATTCATTTCAAGTCTTTCTAAACGGATCTATAAAATATATTTTCTCATAAAGTTAAAGATAAGTATTACAAAAATATGATCTATCGATAAATTTTAATTTAGTAGGTTTTTTATTCCGTTTACAATTACCCCTGATAAATATACTGAGATAACTATATACAAGCATTTATAGGCTTTGGAAATACTAAAATTGCATATTTATAACCATTATTTTATCGTTTTAGAACTAGCAAATCTACTTGAAAAAAAATGATATAATTGCTTTATGGTTATAAAATGTAAGCTAAAAGACTTAAAAATGAAAATAAAATACTATTTATTAGTTTACTCACATAAACGAATAATTTATATAAATATTTTATTAAAAAATTTAAACAACATAATTACTTATTCACATTTATGCCGAATTAGTGGGGTATTTTTAACACTTGAAGGAAATTTTAAATAATTATAAAGAGATTTATAAATAAAATTATGTACAGAATGTTTTAAATCTAATTGACAAAGATTATAACTTTTAACATAATTATCATTTTGTTGATTTTTTTAGCTTCGATGCGAAGCTGAGAAGATATTAATTTTAAAATGTGTTTTTTTTTGTATCAGTTGCCACTATTTCTCAGCTCTCACTGGGCCGATTTCTTTCAACATACGTCAAAAGATTACAAATCGTATCAAGTTGAAGGCATTACCCATAAAAATTGAAAAAAAAATCTCCCGTTCTCCGTAAATAGAGGAAATCTTAAAAAAAATTACAATTTTTAAAATCGGTAAATTTCGTTATTTTTTTCACTTTTTTTTCTTAAAACTTCCATAACTTTTTAAAGAATTAACAAATCACCATAATTTTTTTTTATATTGAAACCTTAAGTAATTCCCTTTTATTTGATATAATATTTTTGAAAATTTGACTCTATACCTCTATAAGAGGGGATTCAAAATAGCAAAGTTTTTTACGAAATTCTATTTTTTCAACTTAACTTTTGAAAATGTTCCGGAAATACTGCGTCCTTTAAACATTTGTTAAATTAAAGCTTACAATAAAAACTATAAGATCAAAAAAAAAAATTTGTTCAGACACCTTTTCTTCTATAGGAAAATGACCGTCGAATTAACGAAAATGTAATTTTTATGTAAAAATCAGTTTAACATGAAATATTTTAATATTTAAAACTGCCATAACTTTTTGAAAAATGAACAAATCAAATGAATTTTTTTTTATATTGGAACCCTAGATATTTTTCTTTTATTTGTTATAAATTTTTTGAAAATATGACTCTAAACCTGCCCACAGGTGAAATTTAATAAACCAATTTTTACACACAAGATAAGCTTTTTAAATTTAATTTTTGAAAATGTTCCGGAAATATTGACACTTTTATTTAATCTTAAATTAAAGCTTATATTATTTACTTTACTATGAAAAAAATAATTTGAAATATAGATATTCTTCTGGGTGAAAATGGCTACCGTATTAAAAAATATGCTATTTTTGTGTTGAAATTCGGGGTTTTGTATATTATTATTATATTTTAAAATAAAGGGGAATATATTAATTTTTATGATTATTAAATATTTTAATTGACATAGAATAAAGTTCATAAGACATAAAAAGTTAAACTTATTCAAATTTTTTTATTTTTTTAATTCGAAAAAGTAATTTTAAAATTTGAATTAGCATAAATTGCCAATTTTATCAACTGACGAAAGTGACGAACAGTTGCAGAATCGATGACACTTGTGTCTTTCATGGTTAGGGTACCAGGTTCGAATCTTCCTATTTAAAAAAGTTTGAAAAAAAATTTCAAGTCATTTGATTTTTATCTCATTTAGATTCAATAACTTCAATAAATATCAAAGATCCTATCACTGTAGTCTTCCTTCATGAGAAGAAATTTCTTATTCATGTTAATATTATTTTATTATAGAGTTTTTTTTTGTGGCTGCGATTTATTTTTCCAACCCTCATACACCTACTTTTTTCAACGATACGTCAAATGATTACAATTCGTATTTAGTTGGAGATATTACGCTCAAAAATTGAAAAAAAATCCCTTAATCAAATATAAAGTAGCTTATACAGCTATATCCATAGAAATAATTATAATTATTCATTTCTGATATTTTTAAAGTATTTATTGTCGAATTAGATTTGATATGATAATAGTATTAAACTACAAAAGTAAATAATTTTACTTTGTAATTAAATAATTTTTTTACTCTATTTGTGTACTACTACTAGACTATCATATTCCACATTTGTTGGTAACATGTTGCTATATAAATCATTAATCTAAAAAAAAAATAATTTTTAGTTTCACCTGAATTTAAAAATGGATTTTTACAATTATAATCAAATTTTATAATACGCTCAATTGAGTAGATCTTTTAAACAATTTTTTTTTAATGGTTTTTTTAGTTAAAGTAAATCATTAAAATTAATTCAGTTCTGTATATTACAATTTTAGAATCTTTTTTATACCAAAAGTTAATTAGTAATGATTACTATAATTTCTATTTAAGTTGTCTATTACGATAAAAATGCAAAAAAATATTGATCTACTTTGATAAATTTTCTATAAATAGTAATTATAAAACTTCCTAACTGCATATTATTCTTAACGATACAATTTTTTTAATTTTCATAAAATTTTCTATTTAATGATGTCAATTTCAAACTTGAAAATTGAGCTAAAAGTTATGGTAAAATAAATACATTTTTTTTTTATTATATAAATTCACAAAAATCAACTTTAAATGATTAAAAAAATAGGTTAAATATGTAATTTTCCTTATTTTTAACATATTAATAATTAAAATCAGTATTAATTTAAAGAAATAATTTTTTGTTCTAAATTATTTTTTTTTATACNATAGGTTCAAAATGATTACCTTTAACATATTAAAAATCAAAATCAGTATTAATTTAATACAATTTTTTTTGTTCTTAATTATTTTTTTTTATATGTAAATACTTATTTTTTAATAATAAGAAATAATATTAAAACTTAGAAGTAATAGAAAAAGTTTAATTGCACATTTGAAAACATCGCGAAAAGTTGATTTAGAAAAGTATATTTTTGTTTCTGATGAAAGTTCCTTGTGGTTTAGTGTATTTATTCATAAGTAACATTTTTTTATTAAATAGTATTGCATCAATCCCTTTAAATTTTTATAANATTAAAAAGTATTGCATAAATTCCTTTAAATTTGTATACGCGTTAAAAGTATATGAATATACAACTCTTTTTTATTTTTATAATATCTCCGTAAAAATTACAATATTATATTATTGAATATCTATTTCATACTAAATTTAATTACTATAATTATTATGTATTCATATATTATAATTATAAATCGGGATAAAATTAAGGGAATAAGAGTTATGGTTGCTTTTGAAATAATCTATCAATCTCTTAAAATTAAACACTATCTACAGATTTCCATTGAAGCGTTTCTAATGATAGTGATTTTAATCACTGTTAGATATCATCTATACTTGTCCCAACTATGCCACGTTCATACTGTGCTACCGTTTTTTTTTATTATAAACCTTCCAAAAAACAACTTTAAAAGATTAATCCATTATTTTAAGAGGAGAATAGAAAAATCTGTCATCTTATGTAAAAGTCATAAAAATTTGAAAATATAGTGATCCAAATATATAAATGTTATAATATTGAATATACAGAGTGCAATTTTGTTCTACTTAATGATGGCAATTTCAAACTTGCAAGTTGAGCAAAAAGTTATGGAAATAAATTCATTTTTTTTTTATTATAAACTTTAATTTTAAAGGACAAAAAAAAGTAGGCTAAAAATGATTAATTTTAACATATTAAAAATCAAAATCAATAATAATTTGAAATCAATTAATTATAAAAATGATATAGTATATAATAAAAAAATATATATTATATTTATAAATCTAAGAATTACTAATCAGGATATAAATAAGGAATTAGAAGTTGATGTTGCTTTTGTAATTATTCACCAATTTCTTAGAATTAAATACTATCTACTGATTTACATCAAAGCATTTTTTATGATAGTGATTTTAATCACTATCAGATTAAATCTATATAAGACCCAACTATGCCACGTCCCCATTGTGTTAGATTTTTAATCATATTTATTGCCTTATAGACAAATTTAAAGCATGTATATATTTTTTTTCTGCAAACTTTCAAAATAGGTATTTTTAGTTCTGTTCTTGCAAAATTTTTGTTGGGTCATTGATAATTTTAGGACAAGTACTTATGAAGTTATAAGTATTTTAATATATAAAAGGGGTATGGAACGAGTGTAAAATGTTTCTGTATACCAAAAATTTTTATTAACGATAAATAATAATAAAAAAAATATTCGAATAAGAAATAAAAAATAATTTTAACACAACCAATAAAATAATAGTTCAATCAAAAGTTATAAGCTTTGTCAGATATACTTGAAATAGATCTGAGAGACTAATAAAAAAAATATGTACATAATTTTTATTGTGTTATCATTAAAACGCATGTTATAATAGAAATATAAATGAAAATTTTATTAAATTCAAATTAAAAATTGTTATTACAATTAAAAATTGTTATTACAATTAAAAAAAAAAAATATGCAAAATATGTTTACAGATATATCACTATTATGGATACTTTTTTTTTTTGCATAATTCAGGTTCCATTTATTTTTGGGGAATTGCATTTATGATAATAACTTCACTGGTCGGTCTATTCGAAAAAGAAAATCAAAATTCATCTAAAATAGGTGAAAATGAACCAGAACATAGTATAATTCAGACTTATTCATTGCTCTGGCGTATTATAAAATTACCAAATATACGCATATTAATTTTTGCTTTGCTGACATATCGAGTAAAATTAAAACTTCTATTTTTATTTTTACGAAATAGAAGCTACTTAAACACTAATTTAAACTATTTATTCTTTTTATGTAAAGATTGCATTTGCTGCCACGGATTACGTAACGAGTTTAAAATTATTGGAGGCTGGACTACCTAAGGATAATTTTTTAATTGTTTCTATTGCACTTTACCCGTTTAAAATTATATTACCGCTAGTAGTGACTAAGTATACTTCTGGTCCAAAACCAATGAGTGCACTTTTAAATGCTTTTCCATTCAGGTAAGTTTGGAAAGTTATTTGATGATTTTATTAAAGAAAAATAATGCATATTTTTATTGTTTGAAACTAAAAAACTTTGGGTTATCTTATTGACTAAGCATAATTTTATTACAGGTTATTTAGTGGGTTGTTTACAGTTTTATTGGTCTACTACACACCAAAATTCATTACACAAGGAAACTACGGGGGTTCCTTTATTTATTATATACTGTTTGGACTTATAATGCTGTATCAAGAGGTAAATTATTCAAAAAAAAAGTTATTATTTGCTATTTAATATTACCTTATTCTTTTCAGTGAAAATATAATTGTGGTAATAATGATAAACAAAATAAAATTATTTTTGACAATTAAAGTTTTATTAATTATTTATATTATAATAATGTTATTATTTGTATTATTATTTTTTACTTACTCTTACTTTTTACTTTATAGTTACTCATGTACTACATGTTTGTCGCTATAATGGGATTTTTCTCAAGAATTAGTGATCCTCAATTCGGAGGAACATACATGACGTTATTGAATACAATATCTAACTTGGGTTTGACTTGGACAGCAACTGCATCGTTGGGTATGATTGATTGGCTAACAATTAACACTTGTACCTGCCGGAGTTCCTTAAAAGTAGAGCAATTTGAAATTAATAATAATCAAACAAAATTTAAAAGTAGAGTTTTCAATAAATAAAAATTGATCAACATGTGTATTTTCAGCTATAGATTACAGTAGTGGTAAAAATTATAAGACAACCCCAAATTTTATATTTCACGTGTTTAGATTTTGGGGTTGTATGGAATTGTAAACGTTTAAATCATCAAGTAAATCCATGACATTTTTATATTCATATAATGTGTTCATAAACTTAAATGAAAACCGCTTATATAGTATTGGTTCTATTTGTAACTTAATTTTTACTTACATTTTCGTTAAAAATGTTATTTTTACAAATACAACAAATTTCAGTCAATAAATCATTTTAAAGGCTTTCTAAAAAAATTCTACTAACATTAACTACATACATTTTTTTCTACGTGTTATTTGGATAATTAAGTAGGATTAAAAAAAATGTTCAAGTCGATTAAAAAATATTCAAACTACAAGCAAATAATGAGAATTGTTAAGCAGCGTAAAATTAGCTAATTTTGTTTTTTTTGGTAATTTAATGTCAAATAAGTATGTTTTTTCAATATGCTAGGTAAAAATCACATGGAATATACTTTATATATTCACTCATATTTTATGTTATTTCAACTAAATTATTTAGAAACGTAATATAGATATTTAGAAATTTACAAAATAAAATAAAACATTATAGTTTTGTTTTTATAAATGTTTATTATGTTAAATAGGACTGCGATTCCAGTGATAAAACATGTGCTGTTTCTGTAGATGGCTACTACCTCGAAACAGTCATTTGTACAATAATAGGAATGATATGGTATATCATTTACAACAATAAGTTAAGAAAAATGCAAGTAGTAAGTAAAGAAAATTGGTCTGTAAAAATGAAGAAATCATCTCCAGAGAATGTTGATAAAATATTTACTATANCAACCAATAAAATAATAGTTCAATCAAAAGTTATAAGCTTTGTCAGATATACTTGAAATAGATCTGAGAGACTAATAAAAAAAATATGTACATAATTTTTATTGTGTTATCATTAAAACGCATGTTATAATAGAAATATAAATGAAAATTTTATTAAATTCAAATTAAAAATTGTTATTACAATTAAAAAAAAAAATATGCAAAATATGTTTACAGATATATCACTATTATGGATACTTTTTTTTTTTGCATAATTCAGGTTCCATTTATTTTTGGGGAATTGCATTTATGATAATAACTTCACTGGTCGGTCTATTCGAAAAAGAAAATCAAAATTCATCTAAAATAGGTGAAAATGAACCAGAACATAGTATAATTCAGACTTATTCATTGCTCTGGCGTATTATAAAATTACCAAATATACGCATATTAATTTTTGCTTTGCTGACATATCGAGTAAAATTAAAACTTCTATTTTTATTTTTACGAAATAGAAGCTACTTAAACACTAATTTAAACTATTTATTCTTTTTATGTAAAGATTGCATTTGCTGCCACGGATTACGTAACGAGTTTAAAATTATTGGAGGCTGGACTACCTAAGGATAATTTTTTAATTGTTTCTATTGCACTTTACCCGTTTAAAATTATATTACCGCTAGTAGTGACTAAGTATACTTCTGGTCCAAAACCAATGAGTGCACTTTTAAATGCTTTTCCATTCAGGTAAGTTTGGAAAGTTATTTGATGATTTTATTAAAGAAAAATAATGCATATTTTTATTGTTTGAAACTAAAAAACTTTGGGTTATCTTATTGACTAAGCATAATTTTATTACAGGTTATTTAGTGGGTTGTTTACAGTTTTATTGGTCTACTACACACCAAAATTCATTACACAAGGAAACTACGGGGGTTCCTTTATTTATTATATACTGTTTGGACTTATAATGCTGTATCAAGAGGTAAATTATTCAAAAAAAAAGTTATTATTTGCTATTTAATATTACCTTATTCTTTTCAGTGAAAATATAATTGTGGTAATAATGATAAACAAAATAAAATTATTTTTGACAATTAAAGTTTTATTAATTATTCATATTATAATAATGTTATTATTTGTATTATTATTTTTTACTTACTCTTACTTTTTACTTTATAGTTACTCATGTACTACATGTTTGTCGCTATAATGGGATTTTTCTCAAGAATTAGTGATCCTCAATTCGGAGGAACATACATGACGTTATTGAATACAATATCTAACTTGGGTTTGACTTGGACAGCAACTGCATCGTTGGGTATGATTGATTGGCTAACAATTAACACTTGTACCTGCCGGAGTTCCTTAAAAGTAGAGCAATTTGAAATTAATAATAATCAAACAAAATTTAAAAGTAGAGTTTTCAATAAATAAAAATTGATCAACATGTGTATTTTCAGCTATAGATTACAGTAGTGGTAAAAATTATAAGACAACCCCAAATTTTATATTTCACGTGTTTAGATTTTGGGGTTGTATGGAATTGTAAACGTTTAAATCATCAAGTAAATCCATGACATTTTTATATTCATATAATGTGTTCATAAACTTAAATGAAAACCGCTTATATAGTATTGGTTCTATTTGTAACTTAATTTTTACTTACATTTTCGTTAAAAATGTTATTTTTACAAATACAACAAATTTCAGTCAATAAATCATTTTAAAGGCTTTCTAAAAAAATTCTACTAACATTAACTACATACATTTTTTTCTACGTGTTGTTATCCAAATAACACGTAGAAAAAAATGTATTGTAATATGNATTAACTACATACATTTTTTTCTACGTGTTATTTGGATAATTAAGTAGGATTAAAAAAAATGTTCAAGTCGATTAAAAAATATTCAAACTACAAGCAAATAATGAGAATTGTTAAGCAGCGTAAAATTAGCTAATTTTGTTTTTTTTGGTAATTTAATGTCAAATAAGTATGTTTTTTCAATATGCTAGGTAAAAATCACATGGAATATACTTTATATATTCACTCATATTTTATGTTATTTCAGCTAAATTATTTAGAAATTTAATAAAAATATTTAGAAATTTACAAAATAAAATAAAATATTATAGTTCCGTTTTTATAAATGTTTGTTATGTTAAATAGGACTGCGATTCCAGTGATAAAACATGTGCTGTTTCTGTAGATGGTTACTACCTCGAAACAGTCATTTGTACAATAATAGGAATGATATGGTATATCATTTACAACAATAAGTTAAGAAAAATGCAAGTAGTAAGTAAAGAAAATTGGTCTGTAAAAATGAAGAAATCATCTCCAGAGAATGTTGATAAAATATTTACTATAAACTTGGAATAATTAATTTATGATTTCAAATAATTATTGTAATATTTTAAATTGTACTCATATATTTTTGTATCTTGTTTGTTTTCACAATATTCATCATTTTAATTTATTAAAATTTTAATTCGAATCATGTGAAAGTTTTCAGTTATATTAAAATAAATTAAGTTTAAAATTGACTATTTATTTAAAACTAAGTGAAATATTTTAGGTTCCTTTCTATTTAGTCCTTTTGTTATTGAACGTCAGGCATACATTATATGTAAAAATAAATAAATAACATGGATAAGTTAAATGATATCTAACTTATATCTGACTAGCAATTTGAAGACTATACAAAACACGATAAGTTTTGCATTATGGTAATGTAACGAGTATTAAATTTTTGAGATGTACTTTGGCACCTAAACAGAAAACTAAAAGAGGTATGATAAGCATGAGTTTAAAAGAGCTCGATTAGAACACATGTTATTATCATTATTTTATTAATACAAATACCATTATCTACTATTATGTAGCACAGTAAAAGCAAATCATGTTAGCGGAAACGACCGTTCTACTATTAGATATCTAGTGCAGTAGCAGTCATTTATTGCAATAATATTAAGTTACATAATCGTTTCCTCAGTTTTGCAGTAACATGTTTCGTTAAATAAATTTTTATTGTTAGAAATATATTTTAATTTTTAAGATAACGTTGAGTAAGTTTTAAAACGTTTAAAGTTTATTACTTTTTCAATAATATTACGATCAATTTATACATTTCATTTACTAATATTGACAGATAAATTAAAAAAAAAATCCAGCTGAGCTCAGTTTACTGGAATGTAGTAAAAAATGTTATATTATTTTATCATAATGAATAATTTTATTACTATTTGTTTTGATTATCAAGTAATAATCTAATCAAAGCGCCAAAGTACGTCAATATCATATTAGATATTCGGCCGTTTATCATGAGGTTTTTTTGGGTCTGCGTTATTCTACAATTAATTTTGATAGCTGTGATTGACGGTAATCTTACTCACATAGAAATATGTTTTTGGAAAGCAAAACTCGACCAAGATTCCATGATCTGCGATTTTATTCCAAAATCGAGTCAATGTATTCAAGACGTACCTTTTCTAATGAACGTTCCAGACATCGATGCTGTCGCGGTGGAAGATTGGAATTGTATTATTCTTTATGATAATAAAGATTGCACCGGCAGAAGTTTTGTCGTCAATTGTCATTTAAGTTTGAAAGAGTATAATTTCTCACGCAGACACATGAGTATACGTCAGTGTTCGGATATTCCGGATTGGGATCTCACTTTGCGGCAACACGTAGTTCCACAACACCTTTATGTGCCGTCTCAGAACGAATTGCCTGACAATTCATCAAGCACAATTAGTATAATTAATGAAAACAAAGTAACAGAAGAAACAGATAGTTACCGAAACATTTCCATTGTTAACGTGGAGTCAAACGATAACACTTACAATCGAAGTCATACGTTTAATAAAAAACTCAACATTTTGATATTGGTTGATATTTTGGGCGCCATACTTATTATTAATAATATATTCATACTATAATGCCTTGCTAAGCAATTCTGAATATTTTACGTTTTGTAATACGTACTGTTGTCTACTTATGGGTTACAAAATGCATACGTAATGGGCTGCACTAATGTTTCTGCCAAAGGTATTGTTAGTTTTTCGATGAACGATTTCCTCAAATATGTTACTATTCATGATACTCCATGTAAACTAAATGTATTAAATAAACTACCAAAGACTACAATAAAAATTAATTTACATGAGCAATACATGTTAATTTATTTACAGAAAATTATTAGCGTAATGTTAATTTTAAAATAATTTATTTCAATAAGGAGAGTGCAAAAGTAAAATTACACTTCGTATATAATAATACTAATAAGTATTATGCAGACAAGAAAGTGTTCATTGGTTATATAAACACATTAAATTTAGATATAAATACGAATATAAAATACGACTAAATTTAGTGAATTTGAATTGATTGACTTGTTTAAAAATAAAAAGTATTTACTAAAATACTTTTCATTGTAAATATTAATACATAATATTTAGATGTTTAGTAAGTAAGGAAACATGCCAATTGTTTCAATAATGAGTATAATAGAAACCCGTTTCCTTACTTACTGATCACCTACCTATATATATATTTATGTATGATTAAATATTAATATGCAATAAAAAAAGTAGTAAACTTAAATTAATACTATGGGAAAATAATTAAATAAAAACTTTATTTGATTTTAACCAGGTGCGCCGAAATTAATTTTTAAATGAGTAACCAATAATTTTATAACTAAAAATTAGTCCCGTTGATTGTTACAAAGCTTATACAGTAGGTAAACCATTTTTGTTGGTGACTTTTAACGATAGTGTAAAAAATCCAGTAGTTTATATGCTTTACACTTGATAATGCATGTTATATTCTATTATATTATCAGTAATTTTAATTACAAACAATAGAATATTATCAATAATAATTAACTATAATACAGTTTATAGGATTAACTGTAATCTTTTTAATTAAACATTAAATAAAAAAAACTAATTATTAACTTTGGAAATTATTTTCAATTTAGTATAATTTATGAGACATTCAAAATTAAACTTTATTGCAAAATAACTTTTACTAAATTATAATTAAAGTGTATAAATATATAAATGAAGTACTGGATAAAAAACAAAATGTAATCTTTGTAAAATCTTGATTAAAATTTGCTAATTTGCAATTGATATTAACAATAAATTACAAATTATTACAATAAACACAATATTATGGAATAATCAAAATATTTGAAATTAATAATAAATGATACTTTTTTAATCAAATTATTAAAGAAAATTTTAAAACTCAAGTCAAATTTTTAATAATAATTTTTTTTAGGCAAATTCAATTTGAGGATATTATTGACTCATACTTTGAGGTAGGCAACTGTTCCTGGTTTAGGCATGACTATTTTTAACCATTTTAAACTAAAATACACTTAACTGATTATTTAGGGTACTAGTAGGATTTTTTTTTGAGGTCTAAATATTGCTATCCAGTTGAACTACGTAAGTTTTGAAAGTTATCATTAAGCGGACACTACATTATTCAGTAAGTGAAATTTTATGTCATAAGAAAAATATTGTACTGTTAAGAATATTTTCTCAATATAATTACGTTCATAGTTTACTATCAGTTTAATGAGAATTCGCAAAAAAAAAAATTTTGATTGAAACTTTTAATTCAAGTTGACAAAATGTACATTAGTTAAGAAATTATACAGTAAATTAAGTGTACCAGTTATGGCCACCGTAATATCAATTGTGCCTTCTTGATATTTATCTATAGATCAAGTTAGTTATTTTTTGAAACAAATTCATTTTTATTAACATGGGATTATGAGAATTTTTGTCCATATAATTTTCAAAAATATTTCTGAAATAAAAAAGCTTAATTTGTGGTTACTAGTATAATAGCTAAAACCGGTACATTTACTTTATTAAGGAATAGTACCAGTTTTCATAATATATCCAATATAAGAATATATTATGTATGTTACTAGTAATATGTATATTATTATTAATAACTTAAAATATGAAAATTTTTAAATTATGTTAAAAATTATTTTTATTTTAATAATTTATTTAGTAAAAATAAACAATGTTGTTTTCTAAAATTTTAACATAAGCAACTAAAAAGAAATATTTGGGATGCGTAAGATTTTTGAAAAATGAACCTTTTTTTAAGACCGAAGAGTCAAAAAAAAAGAGGTGCAGAAAATATAATTTTTCTAAATTAAAATAATATTTTAAGATTTTGATATAAAACATCTCAATAATGCATATCAATCTTAAAACTTTTTTAATACTTTGGTTTGATAAACCTTATTATTATAATTAATCTTAAAATTATTTAGGATATTAAACTATTTATATACTATGTTTTTACTTAAACTTTTGACTTAACTCAAATATGTTAATTTTTAAGTTCATTTGATATTAAATATTAAACCGTGGTTAAAAGGAAACATTTAACAACTCTCATTTTATCATAATTTTATATTTTAAGTATATTAAAACAGAGAAATTTTACATCGTATGAGCAATTATAATAAGTTAATTCATATTTACTAACGTACCCTAATATTTTTCATATTATTTGGAAATAAAATAAAATATTTCTATCACTCATGCAAATTGTGTATAGCAAATAAATAAATTGTATTAATTAGTTTACTTTTTTTTATAGTTTAAATTAACATTTTATTTCCAGTTGAATAACTTCACTATTTTAATTTTGCTGATCTTAACAATATTAAAAAATTCTACAAGTGATTATTATTCCTAATAAATTTAACCGTTTATCTCAAAAAAATGTAAGACTGATATACGGTCATTAGTCGGTTACAATAATTATAGGTTATGTATAATTTTTACGCGGTCGTTACGAACATGATGTTAAAAACGAAGACGTTCAAAGAACAATAAATGATAAACATTAAGCATTTGATCTAATACGATCCAATTTTATAAAACGGAAGAAACGATTTAATAAAAAGTTTGTTTATACATTATTAAATTCTCTATTTTAAATGTCTAAAAGTAAAAGTTTTAAAAATATTACAGTACCTAAATAATTTAACTAAATTATAAGTTTTGTATAAAACTTACTGTTGTGGTTTATATAAATAAAAAATGAAGTGAATATTAATTTTTAACTGTGACGTGTGATAACATAGTTATATATAATTTTTTTGTCTATCCAAACCAGGCAAAAATGTCTGAAAAGAAAGCAAAAAACAATGCAGATTGGAAAAAACGAGTTAAAGCTGAGTATTTTAGGTTACTACAAGCTAAAAAAACAAAAAAAGATGATGATAATGTATTGGCTTGTATCAACAATATGAAAATTTTAAATGGTAAGTTGTTAGTTACCAAGTTATGCTTAAATTATATTCTTTGACAATAATTTGGCTAAATTTTAGAAAAAAAATCTGAAGAGCTTAAACGATTGCAATCTAAAAAAGCTATTTGGGAGTGTCGACCTTATACTGAAACTGTATCAAGATCTAAACGTTCTGAAATAGTTAAAATTGATGGAGTTGGTGAAGATAATATGAGTGTACCAATAAAAATTGTCAATGCTGTTGCACCCATTCCAACAATGTATATATGGGCCCCCATTCAATCAAATTTTATGGTAATATATCATTATAATTTTTATTATTTTAATTTAACTGAAAAAATGTTCCAAGTACATTGTTAAGAAAACATACTTACCATTAGTGTACAATTTTTCAAAATATTAATATTTATTGATTTCTATAAAATAGTTTCTTTATAGATTTATTTTAAATTAACTACACACATTTTTTTATTTTAAATTATATAATATTATTTATGTAATTGCATCTTTTAAAATGAATAAAAATTAAATGAATGAAAAATATACTATTGTTTATAAAATAACTAATTTGATTATAAAATTATGTAAAACATGTTTTATTGTACATTTATTTTAATATTATTATAATATTTAATGAAAAAAGCTATTCTATTCCATTATAGTGATGAAAAAAATTTTTTTTATAGGATGACATTAAATTAATGAAGTGCCTCATATTATGCATAAATATATAAAATTTGTATAAACATTTTTTTATTGTATGTTTCAAAGTAATAATAAAAATTATTTTTAATATATTAAAATTATAATTTTAGTAATAATAATTATTATTATTAAAAATATTTAAGCTTTTTATTAACATTTATATTATATTAATTTTTTGAGGGTAACATATTTTTTTTTATACTTTAATTTTCAAACCATGTCAAAATTATTGAACATTAGAAATTTTACATAGGTAGAAGATGAAACTGTATTACATAATATTCCCTATATGGGTGATGAAGTTCTAGACCAAGATGGTTCTTTTATTGAAGAACTTTTAAAAAATTATGACAATAAAGTTCATGATGATGATGCATCAAATTTTTTAGATGATCAAGTATTTGTTGATTTAGTTCATGCACTATTACCATTTCAGGTAAAGGTTTGCATTATATTAATTTTTTTTTGTTATAATCTTTATTTTAAAACATTAACTTTTTTTAAATATTCAGCAAGAAGACAAAGAAAATAAAGATCAAGTTTGTCAATCACCAAAGTCTACCAAAAGTTGTAAAGAAGAACGACCATTTCCAAGTATGGCAATTTTTGAAGCCATGTCAGCGGCATTTCCAGATAAAGGTTCTCCTGAAGATTTTAAAGAAAAGTAAGTGTACAATGGGTAAATTATCATAGGTTGATTAATAATATATTTTATTATTAGATACATAGAATTAACATCATGTACTGATCCAAATGCTCAACCATCTCAGTGTACTCCTAATATAGATGGACCAACTGCTGAATCAGTGCCAAAAGAACAAACAATACATTCATTTTTCAATTTATTTTGTCGGCGTTGTTATAAATATGATTGTTTTCTACATAGTAAGATATTGAAATATTAAATTTTTTTATCTAATTCATATTAGTTTCTAGTTGAAATAATTTTTTTTTTCATTATTAAATATTATTATATGCTTCATTACAAGTAAATTAAAAAAATAATTGTTTTAGATATCACCTAAATTTATTAATTTTATTTAACTAGTTTCTTCTAGAGAATTTTGCAAAAAATTTATTATTAATTAATTACTAAAGAATTTTCTATTTTATTTTGTCTCTTGTAAAATTTGTTTTTTTTTTTTAGTTATGCTATTTTTCTTATGCTATTAAAAATAAACAACTCATACTTTAATTAATTTCTATTTTGTAATATCATAAATGTATTTAATCATGTAATTATAATTTCTAAATATTGTTAAAAAAATACTTTTGGATTTTACAGAACTGAAAGAGCATGATTCTGGAACAAATTTACCTATAGGCTTAAAAGGACCATTGTTAAAACCTTTTACAAATCATTGCAGCCCTGAATGTTACATGTTACTTGTGAGATAGTTATATTAAAATATGATTAAAATCAACACAGATTTCTTAATAATAAATTATTTCTAATTTTAGGATGGAATGAAAGAAAAATTAGCAGCAATTGCTGAAATCAAAGCATTAGCTGCAATAGCTGAAAATAAAGCAGAAAAACAAAAACAAGCAGATAGAGATGATGAAAGTATTAGAGATGTTCAACAGTCAGGGTCTATTTGTAATACTTCCGAGTTATCAAATCAAAATGATACATGTGATAAACCTGCAAATTCAATTAAGCTATCAAAAAAAGATAGCTCTGATTGGGGTAATGATGCTAGTTCTGAAGATAGTAGAGACAGTAGCAAAGGTAATAACTAATATCAAACAATTAAACATATATCAAATGTATAAAAACTATTTTACAACAGATGGTGAATTAGATATGGAAGATCCATTTTCTACTAAAACATCATTTTCCTTGTTACCACGAATGAGGACAGAAGATAAGCAAGTTTGGACAGGATCAGACCAATCTATTTTTCGTGCTCTTCGAAGGACATTTCTCAATAATTATTGTGCCATTGCTCAAATGATGTTAACAAAAACATGTCAGCAAGTATATGAATTTGCTCAAAATGAAAATGATGATGTAACTGTGGAAGAAGCAATTAGTGAATTAACACCGCCAAGAAAAAAGAAAAAGAAGTTGAGGTTATGGCAAACTCATTGTCGTAAAGTTCAGTTGAAGAGAGATTCTGCTTCAAATCACCTATACAATTATACACCATGTTCTCATCCACCTAATCAAGGTTGTGACTCTTCTTGTCCTTGTGTCATGGCCCAAAACTTTTGTGAAAAATTTTGTAAATGTAGTTCAGACTGTAAGTAACTTAAGCTATAGTGTGATGTTTGTGAATTCTCAATTAATACTTTTAACTGTTGACTAGGTCAAAATAGATTTCCTGGATGTCGATGTCGAGCTCAATGTAACACCAAACAATGTCCTTGCTATTTGGCTGTTCGTGAATGTGATCCTGATCTATGTTTGACTTGTGGTGCAGATCAGTTTAACATAGAAAATATTACATGCAAAAATGTTAGCGTTCAAAGGGGTTTACGTAAGAATTGATGATTATTCATAGAGAAAATAGTATTATATGTAATTATTTTATTGTGCAAATTTAGGTAAACATCTATTGATGGCACCTTCGGATGTTGCTGGTTGGGGTATTTTCTTGAAAGATTCTGCACAAAAAAATGAATTTATATCAGAATATTGTGGAGAAATAATTACTCAAGATGAAGCAGATAGACGTGGAAAAGTGTATGATAAATACATGTGTAGTTTCTTATTCAATTTAAACCATGGTATAGTGTATATTTCTGTTTATTTTATTTTTTATTTATCTTTGACATTTTTTATTCTTTATAACATGGTTCTAATATAAAAACACTTCTTTTTAACATACTTATATTAGTTTCACTTGTATGTGTGATTTGTGTTTGTAACTTTCCACGTGGCACATGTTATTATTCTCGCATATCTCGTCGTCTAGACTAGACGTCGTAACGCATTCACCCCACCCCGCTCACCAATCACCGGGAACACTAATCCTGTATAATTTTATATTTTTGCTTTTTGTACCTGTACACGCGTGCGTGACATTAATTATATATATTTATAAACAAATTTTTATTTTGACTGATGAATACCACCCGCATGTATTGCTCCTTACGTATATATATTTATATATTCCTACCGCCGTTGCAGCCGTTTATACCTTAGGTATAACGTTCCCCCCGCCAACAAAACAAGGCTATACCTAGTGCATGATACGTTTACGTACTTAAGTCGCTTTACTTGTATATATATATATATATATATATTCTAATTACTATTAAAATTTATATATTAACATGCTTTATTCTCATTAAGAGATATAAAGTGTATTCATTCCGATTACGGGGGATGATTCCCGTGTCATCATTTTTCGTCACTACCTCCATGTTCTGGGAGTGGGTAATTTACGCGCCTGCTACTTTCCTTGGATGTGGTAGCCGTTTCTCATACTCCCTCCCCTGAATCGAACCCTGATTTCCCTTTACTCGTTACAATCATGATATTGATAGTAACTACTATCATAGTATGAAACTAAAAAATAAAAAATAAATATAGTTTAAAAAAACACGGTTTTAAAGTACATCAAACTAAAAAGTTAAAAATAATTTTAAAAATAAGCTTGGAACAATAATGAACGAAAATACTGGTATTATTGTGATAAAAGTGTGGGTGCTTTGTGTCATATTTTTTGTATATTGAGCGCCCGACGCTTTTATCACAATAATACTAGTATTTTTTGTTCATTATTGTTCTAACTTATTTTTAACTTTTTCGATGTGCTTTAAAAGCGTGTTTTTTTAAACTATATTTATTTTCTATAATTTTCTTAATACTTTAAATTATTCAAATTACATTTCCACTATTACAAATGTAATTTGTAATTTTTTAATCTACAAAAAAAAAAAAATTATAATATTTTAAGTAAAGATAGCCTGAAGAAATCAAATTTTTGTAACTTTTATTATTTTATATATTTATTTCCTTATTTTGCTACTAATTTTACTCTTTGTCTCAAAAATAGTTCTCTTAACTATCCCCAATATCATTCACTAGATTCTTATTATCATTATATTTTAATCTATAAAATGTACCCTAGTATTTACTGTCAGTAAAGGTATTATCACATAATTATATAAATTGTACGAGTAAAATGTGTTATTGTAAAAATTATCTTCTATTATTCAATTATCTACTATATGAAAATTCCAAATAATGAATTTTTATTTTCTAAAAGCAATAATTGATCTTATTTCAATAAGTTTTTCAAAACATCTTACTATTCTCAATATTAAAATAATCCATGAATATGTTGACATATTTAATAAAAAAAATGTTTAATTTTTTTTAGATTATGTAGTGGATGCTACTAGAAAAGGTAACAAAATTCGTTTTGCAAATCATTCAATTAATCCTAATTGTTATGCTAAAGTAATGATGGTTAATGGTGATCATAGAATTGGCATTTTTGCAAAACGTCCTATTCAACCTGGTGAAGAACTTTTCTTTGACTATAGGTAAATTATTATCAATTAATTTATATATTGGAAGTATTATAATATTTAAATTTTTTATAGATACGGGCCAACTGAACAACTTAAATTTGTTGGAATTGAAAGAGAAATGGAGTTTTTACCATAAAATCTTGATTTAATATTTAAAATCGTTGATTTTTTATATTGGAGCTGTAATTATTTGTTATATTAAATGAGTATTACATTTTGTTGTTGGTGTAATCTTCCCTCAAAAATTATCAATCAAATTATACTTATTTGACATTTTCAAACATCTTTTATATAAAATTGTTTTAAATTTGATGTTAGTTGTATTACTTTTTTTAATATTATTTTAGTCTTCTTATTTATAATAATTAATATGAACTATAACAATAGTTTATTTAATTAATTCCATAAAATATATTAAATTATTTTTTATTTTGTACTTTGGTTCATGTAGCTTTATTTTATATTATTTAAGTAAAATTAATAGTTATTTAAATTTTTTATCCATGTTTTTATTATTGATCGTGAATAATGCCTGTTATTATATATTATCCCCGTTTACACTTTATGATTCACAACTTACTCGAAAAATTTAATTATTAAAATTAGGGTTATTAGTAGTTTTACCTAGTTTAATCTGTATTAGTTTTGTAAAATAGTTTAATCTGTATTAGTTTTGTAAAATAGTTTTATTAATATTATTATTTATCTGATGTTTGACTTTAATTGATATCTATAGTAGATTTCAAATTATTAAAAAATAATGTAAATATATGAAAAGTCATTATTACTATTTGTGTTTTTACATTATTCTTCTATGTATTCTATTATTATTTGTAGGTTAGTTTATTTAATTAAAAATATTTGATGGTACTCTCCTAAATTATATAATTTAAATTAAAATAATTTATAAAAGTTAAACTGCAAAAATTAGTATAATCTAATTAAAATTACATGAATATCAGTTGCTTTTTAAAACAATTTATTATGATATAATTTTTATTTTTTACCAATGAGAAAAAAAAACCTATCTATAAAAGTATAAACATGAGTTCAGGTAAGATTTATATATTATACAATAAAAACTATTAATCAACAAATCTGCAGTAAATAGTCTTTACCTTTAACTTGGTATGGCATCTTTTAGAATAAATAATTATTTAATAAAATATCACCAATACTTAAGTATTGGTATTACCAACTCACAGTGTGCTAGATTTAAAAAAACTGTTTTAAAAGTTAAAATTTTACACTTATAAAACTGTATTTTATTAATAGACATTTAGTCTTTATATAAATATTATTCTGTGCTTGAATAATGTTATTTATGTTCTAATAAAATTATGTACATTTTTGTAAAATGTTGAATAAAAACAAAAATTGAAAACGCTTTTATTCACTCTATTGTCACAGCAAAGCGAATATAAATTAGTTCAAAAATAACCAAAATTTTAAAAAATAAAAGGGAGTTATAAAAAATTTTTAACAAGTTACGATTTAATTTTTTTTTTTAACAACAACATGTATACAATTTGAAATTATAAAAATTAGGTGCTAATAATTGGCTGTTTTACATGTTACATACTTTTTCTTTTAAAAATAATACCCAAACGTCACATTTCGTTGTTTCAAATTTTGATACATTAAATAACTGTAATAGTTATTTGTAATAAATAATAATTGATTATGAAATTATGAAAAAAGAGAAGTAGAACTAAAAACCACTAAGAATTTAATTAATATAATTTTTAGTACGATTTATTATATCACTTAAAGTTTACAATGCTTATCATTGAATAAACAAAATAAAGTTTAGGCACAGCGGGCTTATTATTTACGAAAGTATTTATATATAGAAAATAATATCATATTCATAATAAGAGATTTTTTTAAAATTGTATCTTATATATCAATTTTAAAAAAATTGACCCCTAACCCTCCCAAAAAACTCAAAAATTAATATAATTATTGGATTTAGTAACTTTCATAAACCAGTTATTCAACGTTTTAAGCATGAAATAACTTTAAAATTAAAACTGTATTAATTTTGATTAGTTTTTTTTATTCTGATTCGCTGATCAATGGCTTTCCTGCAAGTTTCATTGTTCAACACATTATTTTGTTAGGAAAAAAAGTAGCACAGTGTGGACGTGGCATAGTTGGGACAATTATTGATGATATCTGACAGTGATTAAAATCACTATCACAAGAAATGCTTCGATATAAATCAGTACATAGTGTTTAATTCTAAGAAATTAGTGAATAATTACAAAAGCAACATTAACTATTTCCTAAATTATATCCAGATTAGTTACTCTTACATTCAAAAATATAATATAAAATTATATATTATATAATTGTTGTATTGAATTGTTTTAAAATTATTATTGTTATTGATTTTTAATATATTAAAAGTAATAATATTTAACCTTCTTTGTTTAGTCCTTTTAAGTGAAAGTTTATAATAAAAAAAAAAATGAATTTATTGCCATAACTTTTAAGAAGTATATAAATATTATTTCTTATAAAAAAATTGTATTGATCCATACATTTTTCAAAAAGTTAATAACATATTAAAGTTAAAATGTAAAACATAAAATCGAGAATTTTAACACAAAATTAGCATAAGGTAGCCATTTTCGTCGTGAAGACAAAATAAAGTCTGAAATTTTTTTTTTCCATAATAAAGTATATTACATTAGCTTTAATTTAAGATATATATAAAAGTGTCAGTATTTCCGGAACACTTTCAAAAGTTAAGATAAAAAAGTTGTCACTTTGAATCCCCCCCTGTGGGCTGGTTAAGGGTTAAATTTATAAAAAAAATATACCAAATGATAGGTAAAGACATCAAACATCTATTAAAAAAAAAATTATATTGATATATTCATTTTTGAAAAAGTTACGGCAGTTTTTAGTAATAAAAATTGAAAAAATTTCGAAAATTAGCGATTTTTAAATTTGTAATTTTTTTGGAGGTTTCCCCCATTTACGGGGAACGAGGGAAATTTTTTCAATTTTTGAGGGTAATGTCTTCGACTAGATACGATTTGTGATCTTTTGACGTATCATTGAAAGAAATCGGTTCAGTGAGAGCTGAGAAAAAGTGGTAACAGACACAAAAAAAAAA